TGATTTTCACGGTAGCGCTGCGGAGAACTTCGCGAACGCGCATGAGCACGCATGAAGGGAATAGTAGTGGGGATCGAAATACGAGTGAAAAACAGGGGAAGCGAGCCTCGAGGTAAAAAATATCTCAACGCTGGGCTGGGGTCCGCCACGGTATCCTCCACCAGGCAGGTCTCGTGGATTACTCGTTCCGCACGGTGGATTACTGGACACGTTGAATCGGCACTGAGATAATCGTCGACAGTATAAAACTCCGGCACGGGAAACAACGCCGATCACTGATAATTATTCGATACGATAACCCTCAACCCGGGAGTTCGCGATACTGAAGGAATCGGCCCCGAATATCAAATACCGGAATAATCGATTCGAAATTCTCTGACACTGGAACCTCACCACGGAATGATTGTCTTTTCGATATCGTCCTTCACCTCGGTCGTCGCGAGGTGGAAATCGCGACGTATCTCTATCTCGCTCGCACCTAGGTGACACGTCACGCGCGTGTCTACGTACTCCGTTGCGCTCTGCCCGATTCGAACTTTTTCCGGTCGCGGAATCTAAACATCGCGACCGTTAAAAACGACCGAGCCGGCAAGAAACTCGGCACGTGTATCTATGTTTTTCTATGATCGCGGTGACTTTCTCGGAACCTCAATACAGTCCCGAGAATATTATTATTTCGAACGATTAAAATTATATCGGAGAGGCGATTTGGAAATTAACTTATTCCATTTTTGAACAGGGATCGAGGGTAAGAGAGAAATCCTCTCGGTGCAATGTATCTTTACCGATATGTTGCACTCGAAATCAAGGATTTTATTAATACGCAGCAAACAGCTGATTTAAATCCGACTAGGAGACGGAATTCCTCGACGTCATTAATCGGATTAAATTCGTCTGGCGAGAACCTTCGCAGACCATGGTACGCATACGATACCTTCTCACACAACAATAATTCAGCGAAACCGTTCGCGGTTCGAAGTACCAATACGCGACTCTCTCTTGAAATACAACGCGTCTTCCTCGCACTCATAACCCAGGCGTATACACGCCCGTATGAGTCACGGCTCGCGGCTATAAGAAATAGACCGCAAGTCACTGATCTCTATATAACATTGGATAGCGTATACCCATAAGCTCCCCTGTAAAATCTTTGACGCCAATTGAAGCTCTCCGGCAGCCATGTTGGTTGTAGTACGTTTGCAAATTTTCGCGGGAGATTCAAATAAATATAACTCAAATAAGTATAAGAATTTGACATATTTATTTTTAAAATTCTTCATTTCAATTTTTATCCAAAAGAACAATTACATTTAATAAAGAAAAGTGTTAACGCATAGTGCAAGCGTAGGTTTTGGGTTTATGGTAAAATAAAAGACTTTGTGTGTGTGTAGATTGAGCCAACGAAATGTAATTGATCTTACAGAAGCGATTACAAAAGTGAATTAATAAATATGTTGCTTATATATATACATGTATCATCATATCATATACATCAAACTATCTATAACGCGAATAATCGCATAAATTTAAATTAATTCCAACAAATTGAATGATTTGGAATTTGTTTCAGTCGATATATAATTTGAATTAAAAGATTAAATTTACAATTAAGAGATAAATATCTTTAGTTTACAACCATCTCTTTGGATTAATATACAAATGCAAAAATAGATTTCCTTTCGAAAATAACAAATATTTTACAATTTGGTGCACTTCATTCACCCACGGTATGCTTAATTGTCCAAGCATCATCTGTTTATAACTTCTCCATATATAAGAGAAATTCCTTCTCGGATGAGCTGATAATAAAGAAAACACGAAGTTAAATTTTGTATTATAGTAACGATTAAACACTCTTAAATATACATGCCGCTATAGGTGATTACATGCAAAGTTACAGATAAGTTATCATAAGTTATAGTTAAAGTTATCATAAGACTGCAAATAATTCTCTTCTCATATTTTTTGGCCTCTTCTACTTTTAGCTTCAAAATATTGAAGCTTTCACACGTGAAACATGGTTCGCCGTTAATACTTGAATACCAGGAGCGTAAAGTGCTTGGACTTGGCAAAGCTTGGCAAAATTTTTGTCTGACGAACATATAAGCTTTTGGGGAATAAAAGTGTAATGTAATAGCAAAAGACCGAATAGCTGCCGGATATTTGTCTCTACTAACTCCCAATCCAGAATTTGTATGATTACTCTTAAATTCTCTATTTCTCTTAATCTGCTGTTGCTGAATACCATTCTTTTTGTTTTTCAAAAATCTTTGAAATAATTGCGAAACATCACACTGAGAAATAGCGTCTAAACATGCAAGGCCAACCTCCGGTATTGCCTTAGTTCTACGTAATTCACTTACTAGATCGTTCAGGCTAGTGATCTTCTTCTTTAGCCGCTGAATACGCCTATTGTGCACTTTAGACTCCGCTCGCAGCCTTTTAACTGTAGCACTTAGGCGAGATATCTTGCGCTTCATGCTATTTGGAGATAATTCATAGGAATGATCATATGTACAATTCCTCTTCCGGTTTAAACTTCTTGGCGTGCATTGGCTTGAAGAAGTTGAAGGACGCTCCTCTGAATCATCTTCATGCGTAACTATATAAGGATAAAAATTTGATTAACATATATGAATAAAAATATGAAACTACTTCTACCAATAAGATTATCTTATTGTCGTAGTCTCAGTTCTTTCAAATACAGGAGACACGGTAATTTCATTACCAATTTCTGTTATCGAGTTATCATTTGTTGTGTCACAATTTTCGTCGTTTTCCATTTCTATGTCCATTTCTGATAGCACGCTTGAACAATTCGCCCTGCTCTCTTCTGCACTAGCAGCCTGGTCCTCTGAATTATGCGTATCTGTATAAAATAAAAATTTCATCACATGTAAATAGAAAGTACACTTTTATTTATTATAATTCTTTTAGTAGAAATATGACACCATACCCTCGGTTGTTTCCAATATAGACGGTACTGCATTTTCTTTCAATCGTAAATAGCCCGTCCGTGCAGTGTAGAAACAATCTTTTGAAAAGTATTTCGTGCAAATTATGCTTTTCTTATGCGGAATATAATTTCCCAATTTTAAAGCAGTGATCCACTTTTCAAGAAGCTCGGAATTGTTTAATGGAAATCTAGAATTAAGTAAGACAAGCAACATTAAGCAAGTAGTACAATATACATTACAATAATTGCAAGACACTTATTTTGTAACATAAAAAGATAAGTTTGCACTTGACGTATAAATCAATTTAAGTAGACCATACTTCCGAAATGAAACATTCTTATCATCATCTTGGATGGCATTCTAATATGCACATGTTGTTCGGTATTCCCCAAACAAGGTAGGAATACTACTAACAAGCAGAAATGTCCTTGTATCTTTCTTTTTGAAACATTCTTTTGTAAAATGCTCCGAGCAAAGTCTAGTACTGCTTGTGGGAACAAAAGAAGTTTCTACATTCATTTTTTGCAGCCAGACTTTAAGAAGCTCTGCATCTTTCAAAGGAAATCTAGAATACGACAAATTAATTAATATGTGTAGTAATGCTCCTATACAAATGTCTGAAAACATGTTTTACTCAGTTCGTTTCTTTTCTTTTAAATAAGGAAACTTGTACATAACCTCACTGGTATTACTTACTTATGCAGAGTTCTGCCTTCTATTCCGCCTTTCTTACCGCAATATTGACATATTAGCACCATTGTGTCTCTAATAGTAAATAATTTATGCTCGAAATATTAACAAAGCACTATCCGATCGAAATTATAGAGCCAGAATAAATCACAGGTCACACATGTCGTTCAAAGTCGATCACCGGAATCGCCATATTGGATTTGAAAACTTACTACAAGCAACATGGCAGACACCTACTCAAAAGAGGGTCAACCGAGCGAGCCTATGCGCTATCCAGTGTTATACAGGGTGTAAACCTACTAGTGGGCAATATTTTAAGGACGTGTTC